GGAAGGAAGGAAGGAAGGAAGGAAGGAAGGAAGGAAGGAAGGAAGGACCAAGGAAGAGGAGACAGAAGGGAAGAGCGGAGGGCTTCTGTAGTTAGATTAGTTCAGTTGGTGCTTGCTTAGCATGAAGCCCTGGGTTCCATCCCCAGCACTGGGCCTGGTGGCTCATTCCTGTAATCCCAGCACTGGGCCTGGTGGCTCATTCCTGTAACCCCAGGACTGGGCCTGGTGGCTCATTCCTGTCATCCCAGCCCTCAGGAGGTAGAGGCAGGGCACAGTTCAAGGCTACTCTCTGCATTCTCAGCTACATGGCAAAATGGAGGCCAGCCTGCTGAACATTGAGATACTATTTCAAGAGAAGAAAAAGAAGAGGAGGAGGAAAAGTTCTAACGTGTGAAGGGCTGTAATTGGGAATTTAAAAACTTCATCAAAAGTCCTCAGAACAATGAAGTAAATTCTGTGTTCAAAATGATTGCTAAAGAGACTGGAGAGATGGCTCTGTGGTTAAGAGTACTGGCTGCTCTTCCAGAGGACCCAGGTTCAATTCTCAGTACCTATGTGGGAGCTCACAACCCTCTGTCCTGGGAATCTAGCCTCCCTGGGAAACAGGCACACAGACATGCATGCAAGCATAGAAAATAAGTATTTTTTTTTCTGAAAGGTATTTGTTATGTGATGGGAGTCTGTAACATATCTATGGCTTTAGAACCCCAATTGGTGAGTACCATCTCTGGCTTGTTTCCATGGAAACCCAAATGAGTCTTTAGGGCATAAAGCCCGTCTTCCACCAAGGTCTCATGTCTCTGACCCCGCACAGCTGGGCTCTGGTCAACCGTCACAAACAGTAAGGAGACCTTTGGTGTGGCAGACAATCAAAACAGTAGAGAGAGCTCAGCAGGAACCTGGCCCTCAGAAAAAGTAAACACAGATAGCACTGCCTTATAGTGAAGAGGTGGTTCACTCCAGGGGCAACAGCAGCAGTGTTTCTGGGTCAATGGGTATACATATTCTCTCTGTACACAAATGTGCCCAGTATTTGCCTTTGGTTCTGAGTTCCCAGCTTCTGCTATTGCTGCCCTCCCCCTGCTCCAGATTCAAGGAGCACACAAGAACCACAGCCCTAGACCCACTTCACGGGCTGAAAGCACTTTCTACTGCACTCTTCCAGGACCTCAGACTTGGACAGTAGATGGCGTCTTGTTGATCTACAAAGTATAACTTAGTTATGAAGAAAGGAAAGCCAAAATTAGCAGCCCAAAGCATCACACCAAATCAGCTCCTACTTCTGCAGTTTCTTTTTGTATGCACTTAGACCTATGAGTTTTCCTCTTAGCACTGTTTTCATTGTATCCCACAGGTTTTGGTATGATATGTCATCATTTTCATTAAATTCTAAAAAGTCTTTCATTTCTTTCTTTATTTCTTCCTTGACAAGATTATCGATGAGTAGGGTGTTGTTCAGTTTCCATGTGAATGGGGGCTTTCCATTGTCTTTGTCATTATTGAAGATCAGCCTTAGTCCATGGTGATCTGATAGGATGCAAGGGATTATTTCAATGTTTTTGCATCTGTAGAGGCCTGTTTTGCGACCAATTATATGGTCTATTTTGGAGAAGGTACCATGAGGTGCTGAGAAAAAGGTATATTCCTTTGCTTTAGGGTGAAATGTTCTATAGATACCTGTTAAATTCATTTCGTTCATAACTTCTGTTAGTTTCACTGTATCTCTGTTTAGTTTCTGTTTCCATGATCTGTCCATTGCTGAGAGTGGGATGTTGAAGTCTCCCACTATTATTGTGTGAGGTGCAATGTGTGCTTTGAGCTTTAGTAAAGTTTCTTTTATGAAAGTGGGTGCTCTTGCATTTGGCGCATAGATATTCAGAATTGAGAGTTCACATTGGTTGACTTTTCCTTTGACAAGAATGAAATGTC